CCCGCGGAGCTACAGAATCAGTCCACTTGAACAAGCCAGGTTGGACTGCACATTCACTCACACATTCACACTCCAGAAGTTACTACATTCCCTCCCTGGGAAACCCTACCTGTGAGACCTCTAAGAGGTCTCTGGGAGGTGATCAAGCTCCCCTTTCACCCCAGTGGGGGTGGGCCTGTCTGGGTCCTGAGGCCCCAGGCCTTACCGGAATCTGATGTTGGGACCAGGTCCTCACCTGCCAAGTCTCCTCGAGTCGGGTGGGAACAGCAAAGAGGGGCTGGCCCGAGGTGACGGGGCGGGAGACTGCCGAAAATTAGGCAGGGTACGCCTTCTCCATTACGATCCCTCGTTCCGTCACCGCCCCGCCGTTGCCCCCAAACCGGTGGCAACAATGGGCCAGCACGGTTGGGTTTCCCAGTCAGGGAACGAAATGTTATGGAACCTGGACTGGATCGCCTGACAGAAGAACCAAGTGGCACCCGGAGATCTTGGAGGATAGGAGGTTTATTTAACACCGGTGGGCTCAGAGGAGAGTGGTCTCCAAAGGTCTGAGCCCCGAGCACAAAGGGGGCAATTTATACACTTCTACTTCCGCATACTTGGCACGTTTGGCGCATGCGCAAAGCGAGGCAGGGAGAAGAACCCAGATTGGTGGGTGTGGGAAGCAGAGCAGGGAGAACCTGGAAGAGCCCCGGGGCAAGGACTGGAACTCTCGCTGGCTTCGTCGGCCATCTTAGGACACAGATTTTCCTTATCATGATCAGAGAATGTTGTATTACTTTACGATATAGAATTTACTGAGGTTTCCTTGTGACTATTCCATTTTTGTGAAAGTTTATGTGTGCTTGCAAGGAAGGTGTATTCTCCATTATTGGGATACAAATATCCAAATATAGTCATTATTATTATTGTTAAGTCTTGTTATTAGAGCACGAGCAGGGGGAGGAGCAGAGAGAGAGGGAGGGGGAAAGAATCTCAAGCAGACTCCGCACTGAGCATGGAGCCTGACATGGGGCTCAATCTCACAACCCCAAGATCATGATCTGAGCCGAAACCAAGATTCCAACTCTCAACCGATTGAGCCACTCAGGTGCCCCAATTATATTGCTAGGTCTTATGTTTATTTACTTTCTGTCTACTTGGCCTTAGACTGAGAGCATTGTTATTGTTTATTTTTATATAATAACATGTTTAACTCATAAATATTTGAATATTATTATTTTGTTTCACTTTCTTTTTGTGTCTGCTTTGTGAAGGTGATTGGGGTGTTTCTTTGATAAGTATCAGAGGTTTTATTTCTTCATTGTGAATTACAGCCTTTATTGTTGTTAACCTTGAAAAAAAAAAAGCTGCCAGTTATTTTACTACCAAAATGGGTTTATGTGGAAATAGCAGAGAATTCAATTCAGGACACGCTAGCTGTGGCAAAACCATAGAGAAGTCCAAAAAACAAAGAAGAGAAAGGTTCTTTTAGAGAGGAAAAGGGGTGTGGGGAGGGGCTGAACTGGGAGCTGGAAGTATAGTGGCTACTCGTAGGCTGCGCTGTGACTGCCTCTCATTGGCTGAGCTGTTGCTGGGACGGAAGAAACCTTCCTCCTCCTGTTGGGATTTTAAGGAGCATCCTCCAGGAGGTCCCTCTCTTCCTCTTGGGTCCGCAATTGACAACCAGTGCTTGGCGTGAGAGCTCCCCCTGCAAGCCTCTGAACTCCATTCTAGACAAGGTTTCCTTTTATTAATTTTCACAGGGATAGGAAGTGTCTGTTGTTGTATTTCCTGCTTTGGCCTGAGTCCTCCCTTCTCTGGTATTAGGACCACTTTGCCTCCTTCCACGGATTTGTGTGTGCCTGACACACCTTTACTGTTTCGTCATGGTTAACTTTTCTGTTTTGATTGAGCTTCTTGAGTATACAGTCAGATTTTCTTTTGTACATCAGTGTAATCATCTTTTTTACTCTGATAAAGTGAGTTAAGCCATTTATATTGAACAACATACGTGCCTGATCTCAAGTTTTGTTTTATGTCACGTTTATGGTGTGATGTGGCACATTACTGAGCTCCTTTCTCCAAATATGTTTTCCCTTTTTAATGTGTATCTTTTTGGGTAAAGGTTCTATCTTTTGTTATTTAGGAAGGCTTGTTTTTTTTTTTTTTTTTTTTTTTTTTTTGTTTGTGGCGTGGTTACCTTTGTCTTAATACTTTTTGTCTCCATTTTCCCTATTCAGGCCTACGTATTATTTTATTTGTTGGCTTTACATGATACTCCTTTTCTCCCATGGTGATCAGTGAACTTATTCTACTTTAATCCTTGTCCCTTCTCTTCCCGCTTTTGAAGATCCACTATTTCCACCTTTCTGAGAATATGCAACATTTACACATTGTTTTTCCTTGTCTCCCCCCCCTTTTTTTTTTTAACTTTGACCTACAGTGTACTGTACTTAGTAGTCACACCAGTTCTGGTGACGTTTTCCTTGTATCTTGTGGTCTGGTGGGGCCCATCCTCTAGTAGATCCCCGAGGAAGTCTCTCGAATACATCCTTGCAGGTCTGATGCTGCTTTCTGTAGCCTGGACATTTGAAGAATGGCCGGGCTGGGCCCTAGATCCCTGACTCATATTTGTCTTGAATTTTGTGAAAATATTATTTCACTGTGTTTTTGTTGAAAAGTCTGCTCCCACTTTGACTTACTTTCCTGTTGTACACTTGGACTTGTAAATCAAAGGCTTGGAGGATTTTTGAAATACTTAAAGTCTAGTAGTTTTGTTGTGAGGTGTCTGTGGTGACCATCCTGGATTGACTTTTCCAGGAACATATGTACCCTTTTGATATGTGGATTCAGGTTTTCTTTTATTTTCAGAAAGTTTCATTGTATGTGAGTTTTAAGTATTAGTCTGTTAATGGTTTGCTTCTCTGCAGGAGCTTCACTTGTATGTTTACTAGATCTTCTTTGCCCATCCTCTTGGACACCTGCTCTCAGATTCGTCTTACCTCTTTATTCCATCTTTGTTCTCTTGCCTGTTTTCCTTCTTCTTTAGTGTCCTTATTGGCCCAGTAGAATATATTCTTAGGTATATTGCTAGTCTTTTTTTTTTTTATGTTATTTTTTAAAGATTTTATTTATTTATTTGAGACAGAGAGAACACATGAGAGGGGGGAGGTTCAGAGGGAGAAGAAGGCTCCCTGCCGAGCAGGGAGCCCGATGTGGGACTCGATCCAGGGACTCGATTCAGGGACTCCAGGATCATGACCTGAGCCGAAAGCAGTCGCTTAACCAACTGAGCCACCCAGGCGCCCTAAAGATTTTATTTATTTATTTGGCAGAGAGAGAGTGAGAGCAGGAACACAAGCAGGGGGAGTGGGAGAGGGAGAAGCAGGCTTCCGGCCAAGCAGGGAGCCTGATGCAGGACTCGATCCCAAGACCCTGGGGTCATGACCTGAGCCGAAGGCAGACACTTAACGACTGAACCACCCAGGCGCCCTATTGCTAGTCTTTAAGATAACTTTTTCTTTAGTATCTTTCCCGAATTAATTTAACTCTTATTTCACATCTTGGCTCTTTGTCCAATTTGGTTTGAGTGTTGAATTTCTAATTCAGGGTGTTCCTTCATGTCTGCACATGCTTATTTTATGGTATTTGATTCATGTCGGGGTGTGGCTACCAATCTCTGTTGGTTGTTCTTTGGGGAACGGTTCTATCAGCTAAAATGTTTTGTTCCTTTCTTACTTTCACTTTCTTCTAATGACTTTGTTTGAATGTTGCCTGCCATTTTCTGAGCATTTTATAGTTTTTGTCTTTTCTTGGCCAGTAAGAACAGGTGTCTTTATGTAAGTTGAATAGAATAGAAAGTCCAGAGAGGGTTCCATGTGTGAGTGCCTGGGTAAGGATGTCCTTTTATTTTGTTTAATTAATTTTTTTTTTTTTTTTTTTGGTACCAAAACCCGGGAACAAACCATAAAGATGTCCTTTTAAAACAGTAGGCGAAGGACAAGCTATTCGAGAAATGGAGCATAGGGACAGGAAGGAAAACAAGTTACTCACATGTCACTCTGTAGAAATATGTTTAGAATAATTAAAAACTAACGCAAAAGACAATAGTGTAAAATTATCTCAGGAATGTATAAACTTTTTTTTTTTTTTTTAAAGATTTTATTTATTTGACAGAGAGAGAGAGCACAAGCGGGGGAAGCAGCAGGCCGAGGGAGAGGGAGAAGCAGGTTTCCCGCTGAGCAGGAATTGGGGCTTGATCCCAGGACCCTGGTATTATGACCTGAGCCGAAGGCAGCTGCTTAACCAACTGAGCCACCCAGGTGCCCCTAAACAGTTTTGAATCAAGAAAAATTACATAGGTTTGATTTACTTAAAAATCCAAAACATCTGAACCAGAGAATATTACAACATCAAGATACATGAAAATTATGAGAAAACACTGAATCTTCTTTAACGAAGCACTGATATCAGATTATATGAAGCAAAGAATCTAGTTGAAAAGATAGGAGCAGTCAGTTCATAGAAAACAGCACAATTGGCCAATACAGGATTAGTAACCCGTAATCAAGAAAGTGACATTAGGATGAGGCTTTTCACCTATCAGATGAGCAAACATTTTCAAAGACCGGCATTACAATAAGTCGGATGAGGGTAAATAGGTATTTTTTTTACACATGGCAAATAAGATTTGCGCGTTTTTGAAAAGCTTTTTTTTTTTTTTTCCTGTTAAGTCTTCAGTATGACACTCTTTGACCTAATCAGGCCAGCGCTGGGGATCTCTCAGAGGAAATACTGGAATTGGTGTGTGGAGCTTCTGTGCAGGGGCGCTCAGTGCTGCAGCGACAAGATTTGTGAACAAATTAAATTTCCATAAGAGTGAGAGAAAGTGAAAAGTCGTGGGAAATGTCTGACAAGAAATATTCCAAGGAGCGTTAGCCAGCAAGGAGGCAGTTGAGCGGTTGCCCTCTGCCCTGGGGGAGGCCATGTGCTGACCACGGTCTTTGCTGTCTGTGCAGGTGGCCTCTGTCGAGGGCATCCTGTATGCGCTGAGCATGCCCCAGCTGCAGCTGCTCTCCAGGACCAGTGTGTTTCCGAGCAGCCCCACCAGTCTCCTCTGCTCTCCTGACTGCCAGTGGGTGTTTGCTTCGACCCAGGACTCAGACTTGGGCCCAAAGGTCAGTGGCTTTGTGCACACAAAGTGGTGAGTTCTGTGCCCAGGCTTGTGGTTGGGTCTGGGAGGGTGGCTTCCAGTGCAGGACCAAGCCTCCCAGAAGCACCTGCAGACAGGATGGTCCAGGGACAGAGGAGTCATCTGGAGCAGACTTCCAAGTGGTAGGACAGGAATACAGAGCAAGACGTTGGAGGCAAAAGCATGCCGGTGACGTACACTGCTCAAAACCACAAGAGCCCTTAAAAAACACCACAAGGGCCGTTGATTTGGTTGTCCTATCACACCGACTGACCCGGGACTGGTGTGCGAGACGTTTCCAGCAGGGCCTGACTAGCTAGTCCGAGCAGTCTGGCGAGCAGGGCGCACAAGGGGCACCAGCAGCCCTGTAAGACACAGTGAGGTCACTGGGTGTGGGTCTGCGGCCCTCCTGGGTGCTTCTCAGCGGCACGGACCACATGGCAGTGTTCCCCCAGGTGTTCCACACTCGCTCCCTGCTCTGTCTGGTGGAGGATGAGCCTCCTGTCTCCACCACTCTCCCCATCTGGCTGACTTCCAGAGCCTGCTGGGCCCCTGACGAGACAGCCAGGCTGATGGTGATGCACAGAAACAATGATAGCAGGCAGCTGGCCATCAGCACCTACGAGCTGGGGGCCAAGCAGTCCCAGGAAGGAGTGGACGTTGTGGGTAAGGGTCCCCACGCCAGGACTGTCTCTGTTGCACTGTGGTGCCTCAAGCACAGATTCCTCGGGTTTCCTTTGGGGAACTTTTCTTCCCTCTCAGTGAATATAGTGGCCCAACAAATGTCTTGTTGTTTGTGATTGTACTGGCCGAGTGGTTGAGCACTTGCCGCATTCCAGGCCCTCTGTGTGGCCCTGGGATCCAGACACTAACCACTGACCACGTACAGTCTCGCCTCTCCTCACTGTCTTGTCACAGCTGTGGCATACACACTCTTCTTGGTGCTGAGTGTGCACAGAGATGAGTAAAAGCCACAACCAGTTCTTCCCCAGGGAGCTCCCAGGCCAACAGGAAAAGAAGACCCATAGCCGTCTCTTTTTCTGCCTCCTCTGTCTCCCAAATTGGATGTCACTGTGACTGGCCTGCCCTGTGGCCCTTAGAATTTTTTCTTTTGTACTATATTCATTTGTTTTCATGTCATCATTTGACCATAAACTTTACTCTGAGCTTCCTAGCAGCCAAGGAAAAAAGGGAAATAGGATGTGTACTCTAATGCCTTGTGTGATATGAGCATGAATTCTTCGAAAGGTAATTTTTTTCCTGCTGGTAAACCATAAGGAAATGATCCAGTTAATTTAAAAAAAAAAAAAGGAATGCTATACAGTATAAAAGACCATATCATCATAATAGTTTTTGGCAGATGTTACAAATGTCATAGTTCTCATGGCACCCATCTTACATCACCCTGCCGTAGCTGGGGAGGGGCAGGGGGCCTATCCCCTGGAAGATACGTGTGCCACATATTGTCACTTCCACATGCATTTTGCCTCGAATCTTTACAGTCCCCTTAAGTAGGGCACTGCCATCGTATGGGAGGCTTTGGGGAGGACTCGCAAGTGTGGCCACAAAGGTGTTGCCTTGTCAGTGTACCACGTCATCTTAGGGGAGGCACGTGTACTCCACACCCCCAGCTGCTACTGAGAGATGACAATCTGTTTTTATTTGAAAAAGTACAACAGATTGCAAGTTTCCTCCTGCCAGACACCATGACACCTCCTCACCTCATGAAAGGCCATGGCTCTCAGTTGATCCTGCTGGTGTCGGGGTCGGAGCTGGTGCTCTTCACCATCCAGGGCCTGCAGCTGGCAGCCTTCCAGGACCACCAGAAGCCCGTCACATCCCTGTGGGTGGTGAGTGTGGGCCCGCCCGCCTGCATCGTGGCCCGGCCTCCAGAGCCTGCGGCTCCACCTCACTTGGCTTCTCATTTCAAGGACCAGAGCCGAGTCCTCACTGCTTCCTTCGACCTCTCCCTGCGGGTCTACGTGTGGAATAAGGAAAATAAGTTTCCCGTCCTCAAGAGCTGCTATCACCTGCTCGGGGGCTCCCACAGATGGGCCAGGTAACTGCTTCCAGTTCCCTTCGCCCGACCCGTGAGGCGGCCTCACCCTGCCTGCCGGCGGCAGCTGTAAGGCATGTGACTGGGACTTGGGGCTCAGCCTGGCCTATTTGCACTATCTGGGGACCTAAGATAAGTCGCTGCTCAGATGCCATTTCCTCCTCTGCTTCAAAACAAAGATGCTAAGCAGCATCTACATTATCTCCTCTAATGTACAAAACTGCCACCTACAGTTGGTACCACCCACTCTCCCAGATCAGACAGAGGCTCTGAGATGTGGCTGTTTTGCCCACAGTCCCGCAGGGACGCACAGTGACACCAGGTGGGCCCGGCCTGGACCTGCAGCCCCACTCTCACCTCCCGCCCTGAGCCACACGATTCTAAAACCATTTCCCAAATGCAGGTGGTGGTGGAGTCAGTAGGGTGTGGTGGAAAAAGTCCCAAAGAATGCAGTTTTTTTTTGGGTTCTTTAATTAGTATTTTGGAATCACTTGTTTCTTCTTGCCAGACTGAGTTCTGCAAACGGACAGGGCGGACAGGTCTGCCCCGGGCTGCTCACGGTGAGATGGCTGACCGCCATCACTGGTGTGAGGTCTGAGGTAATTTCAGCCTCCTGTAGCAGACATTTTACTGTCGTAAATGAAAAATGAAAAAATACCAAGCCCCAAACCAAATATTGTAAAAAACTACAGATTTCTGTAACAAACCTACCTCATTTCTGAGTTTTCAATCAGTTGTCATTTGAAGATAATTATTAAAGCAAACTCCTAATTAATACAGAAAAACTTCATTCCTTTTAGTAAACAAGCTCAACTTTCTGATAGAGATTCAGCTTAAATCTTATGATAACTGGTAGGTTTTAACATGCTCTCTTAACTTGCTAAACAAAGCATAGAGGACAGCCTGATGCTCCCGTTCTGAGAAGGACTTGCATCAGTTGCTTCTTCACTCAGGATTCCTCCTTAAATTCCTTTGAAGTTTGAGGCCACGTTTGCATCTGCTTTGCTGTAGTTTTGCTAGTTAATGCCCTTGTACACTTGCCCCTTCACGCCGCTGCCCTTCAGGGGCGGGGGCATCGTGGTCTCACCATGCTGAGTCTGCGTGTGACCAGAGGCCGGCGTTTGTGACAAACCTCTCCGGTGGGAGAGGTCCCGCTTAGACGCCGCAACCACTCGGACCGCCGTGATGCTTCCTCCTCCAGAGGCAGGAAGCCTCTCTCTGCTGAGGGACACACAGTGCAGACATTTGTTCTCATGGTTGCTGGAAAGTGAGGGGATTATGCTCCCATGTTGGCCTCAAAATACACTTTTCCCCTTTCTTTTCTATGTGTGTCTTTAAAGAATTCTCTACATCATTACTGAGTGATTAGAGCATCCTTTCACTGAAATAACACCGTTTCAACTTAGCAAGCAAGTGGCACTTTTAGAAACTTCTTTTTTACATGTCTTTTGAAACACTGCACAGCATGCACTACCCAACAGGACCCTCGTGCTGAGCATGTAGCACTGTGAGACTCTTTTACACATGTGTTTTTACACGCTGAATTACATGGATGTAGAATGGAAAACATCCTTCACTGAAATGACATCATTCTCATCGTGATAAATAAGTAGCACACTTACTTAGAAATATCTTTTCAAAAGTGTGCTTTAATCAGGACCCCAGAATGGATCATGCTTTTAAATTATGCCCCTTTCCTAATTCAGAACAGATTCCTCCAGAAATCCTTAGTTGAGTGGTAATTTCTTTTGGGAGCTTCATTTGGCAACAATAAACCCAGCACTCTTGCTTCATGCTGTTCCCCATAAGTTTTTTCCAGCACCTTTTTGAATGCTGCAAGACATAACCAGTACTTTCTGAGAGCTTTTCAGTTTCCTAAAATGTTACCATCTGTGAATATATAATACATAAATAATTCTCTAAAGAAAACAGGAAAAATGGGTGTGTTAAATATAACTTTACCAGAAACCTAGGCACATTCGCCCAGGTATCTACCCAAGAGAAATGTTATATCCAAACAAGGACTTGTACATGAACGTTCTTAGCAGCTTTATTTTGTCTTGTTTTATTTTTAGTGTGGAGTTTCTTCTAAGCTAAAAGGTAGTTCATGAAAGCCAAAGTGGCAGTATTTTAGAAGCAATCCATGGCCAAAACCACCTTCTACAGGAAACTCTCTGTCATACCTCAGAGCAGCATTGTCATCTTTCTAGGCAAAGATAGCATCGTGGAGAATGACGACTCCTGTCGATGTCTTTCACTGAGACTGGCTGGGAATTGATGGCCCGATTCTCAGTTCTGGGGAAATGACTCTACCCTGTCGAGATTGGATTAGGTACCTGTTCTCTACTGGAAGTTTCTAGACTTGCTGAAATCGTAATTCAGGCAGCTACCATCAGGAGGGCCCAAAGCTGATACTCCCACTCCAGAATGTGAGCATATTTGCTAATTGGTAGGAATGAATGCAGGTCTCAACACGGATGGGGTGCGCTAGGATGGAGAAGGTCTAGAGGTTGTGTTCCATCTTCATGTAAAGGCTTAACTACTTAAATATATGTCTGCCTCAAGTTAACATGCAGCCTGTCCCTTCCTTTTGCAGTGGATTCACCCATGTGGAAAGTGACAGTATGAGCATTGTAGGTGTGGAAGCCAGGAGCATCGGGACGAGTATCCTGAGGTCATATTGCTTCAACATGCAGCATGGCTCAGATGATTGTGTCAATTGAAGATAATCTCATTTTGGTGAAAAGCTTGTCTACATACAAACTAAATGATTATTTTATCAACACTGGCAAAGGAATGAGCAATTCTCAAATGCCTCTTATGGGCCAGGCACTGTGTTATGTGACTTTCTTTTTAAATCCTCGCAACAAGTCAATGAAGGACATATGATGTCTCTATTTTTCAGACAAGGAGCATGACCAGTAACAGAGACCCATTATTGGCCTCTTGTCTGGCTGCCATGCCACCTGCCCAAGCTTATTCAGACAGTAAGTGGGAGAGAGGAGTGGATGTAAGAAGGTCCATGTTCGAGGTACTAGACTTGTATCCTGATTGTTTTGTTGTTCAGATATGTAGTGAAGTAAGGAAATGTCCTATTCTGTTACATGCTTTAGACACGCATTAATAAATAGTTGTGTGGTGCCACACTGCAGAACTGTAGGGACACCATTTTGTACTCTGTGCAAGTGGCATCCCCGGAGTTGGTCCACAGAGAGGCCCCGGCTGCTTTGGTGGGCATATCATTAGAGTTCTCAACTGCAAGCAACAGGATAGAAAGCTAACACCAAGAAAGGAATTTACTGGAAGGAAATAGAGCAGTGCACCAGGTCAGTGGGAAGGCTGGAGGAACAGATGTGGAACCACAGGAAGCAGAGCAGCGGGCAGCAGCCAGGGCCCGTTCCAGCAAGGTCTTGCCTGCCGTCATTCTCCCCGAGTGCTCCCATGGTGCTGCCGCTGTCTGAAAACGTCCCAGCTGCCCCGATGCTCAAAACACCAGGATGTGTGTGTGACTTTCTGACTTCACCACATGCCCACACCACCTGGGCCAGGATGGGAGAGAGCGACCCCTTCAGCTTCAGTTGAGAGGCTCCCAGTCGACTTGCACTGTGAAAAATTCTTCAAAAATAAGAAGCATTCTTGAGAAACAGACAATGAGGATGAGAAACTCTTTACTACAACCTGTGGCTTCAGCTGTCCAGTACCACAGCCCCTTCTTCCTGATACTTTATACCCAACAGAGCACCTGTGCCCCACATAGACAAACCCAGATACAGCCATTTCCTCAAAAGGAAAAAATCTATAGCCTACCCCGCCCTTTAAAAATCTAAGATAAGGTTTATTTTGGGATAATTTTAGGTTTACAGAAAAGTGGCAAAGGCAGTGCCGCAGATTCCATATACCTTTTGCCCAGCCTCCCCTGGTGTGAATAGCTTACTTACATAACATAAGATATTTGGAAACCCAAGGTCTTTGTCACCTTGAAGTCAGAACTCTGTTAATCCTATTACAGTCCTATCTGGTACTCAGTGGTCCTAGTGCATCCTGCATACAGCCATGGGGGAAAGGGAGAGGAGACAAGAAATTAGCTAAAATAAACACACGTGACACGGCAAGAAAGGAAATAGCTGTTTGAGAAGATGAAGGGGAAGTTCAGGTAAGTTGAGATACAGGAGTTTTTGGTGAAGACACATGGAAAGAGTCTGGAGTGTTGGCAAAAGGGGAGGTCAGATAAGGGAATGGTGAGTGTATGGGCCACCTGAGAGGCGTGGACATGTGGTGCCTGGGAAAGCAGTGTGGTCAGTTCTTAGGGAAGGCAGCCAGCCAGAGCCTGGCATGTGCTGGCTGCAGCATTAGAGTGGTGTCATGTCTGGCTATGGTGGCCCTGCCCAAGGAGAGCTCTGTGGACCCCTGCTTTGGGTGTGATGTGGGAAGCTTGGGAGGGAGTCATAATGGGAGCATAGGAAGCTCTTGTGGAAGGTGTGTGTGTTGAGTCTGGCAGACAGGCTCCTCATGGGAAAGCAAGGTCTGTGAGGTGTGATACCATGACCTGGGGGAAACACAAAGGACTCACGTCCTCTAAATCCAAGTTCTGAGGCGTCTTTCTCATATGGCAAGGACTGCTGCTGCTGAGGGAGCACGAAGGCCTCAGTGGCACCTCTGATTCCTGCCAGCAGGCAGATCTCAGCCTTCCTCTGAGCCTCTTACTCCAGGTGCAGGCCAAGATACTCTGTATTAAGTAGAAATAGAACACATTGAAGAATTTTCCCTAGTACTTGGCCACAAGTGAAGTCTTAACAAATTCCAAAATACTAATTGCTAACTATAAAATTCCTTTTTGAAAAGATAGTCACGCCAAATACACACACACACCATTAAAATTCACTTTTAAATAGAAAATCTAAGCAGAAATGATGAAATATCAAAATAATAGAAGATAATTTTCTTAACTGGATAAAAGGAATATGAAAGACTGCAAACATGCTTAATGATAGGTAATCACAAACATTTCTACTGATGTTAGAAACAAGGTAAGTACGACATTGATCACCACCATGATGAGTATTGCCCTGGGTGTACTACTAAATGTAATACTTTTTTAAATTCTAAAAAAAAGATTAGAAATGGGTATGTGTGCTATAATTTCTAAATAGTACTATCTCCTTTAGAAACTTAAGAAAATCATTAGAGTTAGCAAATCAGCATGATTGGTGAATAGGTTATCTACATATGGAAATTAGTGTAACAAAAATTAGAAAATATGATAGGAAAATTATCCCATCCACAATAACACCAGAAACTATAATATCTTGGGATCTAAAAAGAAAAAAAAAAAACTTTATGAAGAAAAAACACAGCTTTTCTAAAGGAAGAATAGAGATAACCCATGTTCACGGATAGAAGAATTACTACTTGAAAGAGACCATATAGTGAAAGCAATACCGATAAAATTGCTACCATTTTAAAAATAGAATGTAAAAAGATGATTATTGGATGTATATGGAGCTATAAAAGGACAAGAGTAGTCCAGACAGTCTTGCAGAAACAAAAGAGCAAAGGAAGGGGTAGACCTGCCCTGTGAATTATGAAGACAAAATTAAACTTTGTCATTGAGGCAAGTGGTATCAGTGTGTGAGTAGATAATAGAGGATCAAGAAACAGACCAAGGTATGTTTGGAAATTGGGTATACAATATAAGTGACATTTCAAGTCAGAATGTGATCTTGGAAGGACTGGCTATCCAAATGGAATAAAATCAGATTCCTTCCTCATACCATGCACAAAAATAAGTTTTTTTTATGTGTAAAGGATCTAAACAGCATTTTTAATTATAGGGGAAAAATTAGAAAAGAGAAGGCTTTTAAAGCATGATTAAATAGTACAAAAGCAAAACCCACAGCGAAGTTATCTATATCAAAATTTAAATCTTTTGTACAAGTGACACCATAACCAAAATTAAGACATGCCATTGACAGCAACTGCCAAATTGAACTAAGAGGAAATGTAATTTACAGAAGAAACCAAACCCTAAAGTACAGGAGAAATTCTCAAAATCATTAGTAATCACAGCCGAATAAAACAATAATGACCTATCACTTTGTACTATTAGGCTGTCAAAAAAAAAAAAAAGTAGAAAGCTGGATGATGCTGAGTGTTTGCAGACACATGGACACAGGACCCAGTGATGGAGACGGCCTCAGTCCTGTTCACATCTGAATGTCTGGCCAATCCAAGGTATGTGTTTCAGTAGTGCAGGTTCAGGGTAGCTGTCTCAGCTCCCTACCAGGCCTCCCCTCCCCCCATTCCCCTGTTCTGGTCTGCACCAGGCTGCCTTCTCATTCCCTGCACCTGGCAGGAGGGGCAGGTTTAGATGCTAATCTCCTTTGCTCTGAGAGTGTAGCTCTTTGAGGTCCTAGCTCAGTGTGGGGCTCAGTCCTGTGCACCTCTGGTATGTACCATCCAGCGCCTAGTGGCTGACAGCCAGCTCAAATGCTCTGCAGTGCGTGCCTCAGTCAGCTCCAAGTGCAGGGCAGCCTGGTGCAGATGGGGTGCCAACCGCAGGAGAGAGGGAACTGGTTGAGGGAGTTGGAGGTGTATAAGTTTTGCGTCCCAGGTCAGTCCACCCTTTGCACGACTCCCTCCCATTGTGTACATTTCTCAGACTACATTGTGGAGCTTACCATCTCCGAGCCGCCTCCTGCTAAGAACAAAGGCATCCTTACTCTGCAAATGTGACCAGATTCCCAGAGTTGATGATGACCTGTTCTGGATGCCTATGGCAAGAGCACTAGTGAAATGAGCAAGAGTCCCTCTGCTGGATTCCCTTTAAGCAGCATTTTGGGCTATCTGGGTTGCTTATTTGGTGGGGTGACCCAGATCTTCGTCCCCAAGGTGATGGTTGTGGTGGTTTCCCTTGCTCATTGAGTCATTGCTGCTAAGTCACTGCTAAGAGATACCCAGTTACTTACCTAGGTTGTAGACACACACCACTCTACTCGATTATCTACTAGCAACCTTAGTCCCTGATGTTTGTCAGTTACAATCCCAGTTTTTGCCTGTTGGGCCACTGGCCAAGAACAAAAAAGAGTCAGATGGTAGTCATAGCTTCCCCTTAAAAGGAATGCTTGCTGTGACCCTGAAAGAATTGTCTCCACTCCTATCTCCAGGAGCTAGGACCTATCTATAATCCCTGAGAGCCCAAGGTTGTATGAATAGGAAACAAAATATGCAGGGTTGCTGGCTGTCGTAATAGATGGGGCCACTCCCACACCCGTTGGGTCTCAGACTCCTGGGTGGAAGGGCACATCCTGGGTGGAAGATGGTATCCAGGCCATATTAAGTATTGACCCCTGGCCAGCACCTTAGTGGAACTGTCAGTAGTCCGTGTCACCATCATATCAGGCCAGTCAATCCTGGATGATGGGTATGGGACAAGACCAGTGCATTCCATAGTCATGAGCTCATGGTCACACCTCTGGTGTGAAATGGGTCCTTCGTTCTGAGGCAGTACCGTGGGATATCACAGGTAAGGCATTCTCTAAGTCTTTGGGTGATGGTGTTGGCAGAAGCATAGGCAGGTGTCATAAGGACAAAATACTGACCCAGGATTAATGGTGCCAAGTTGATAGCATCAGTCTGCTATCCATTAGACAGGCCTTCAGCTATGGTGGTAAGGTGCGTCTTGATATAGGAAGTCCTTGCCATTGGGCCTGTGCTTAGCTCTTCTCCCTGACACTGTTCATATGAGGGCCTTTGCACAAGGACCAGATGGGTGAGAAGAGTCTGCCTGGCAGCCAGAGGATGGTCATCTTGTTACCGTATTGTTGAGAGACTTCCCTGTAGTACGTGGTTTCTGGTGGGCTTTCAGGTAAGACACAAAGATGTCATGCTGTTTGCCCTCCTCCAACTTCCTCGGACTTCCAGTTTGACCTTTCTAGGGCCCTAACCAGGCAAGCCATCTGCCACTGTCAAAAGTCCATGTATCTCTGTACCTTCAGTCATTTTCTTTCTTAGAAATGACTGAGCCACTCTCAGCTTGGTACATTTGAAGGACTTCCTTTCAAATGTCTTCCAAGGACATCCCAAGTGGTGCTATGAGGAGGCAACATGCAGCAGCAGGCCGTTTCTGCCAACATGACAAGCCAGCCTGGTTGTGATTCACTCTGAGTCCTTTTCTTGTGCCGGTTAGTCGTAGGAACCCCCCATGAAGCATGGGTGCTGTCGAGGGGAGAGGCAGCACAGGTAGGAGTCTGGGTCACATGTTCTGTGATTCACTTGGGCCTTATGGCCACGCTTGGGTCCAGTCCCAAACAGGCCAGTACCATTGCACAATAGCTCAGTGCTGTGCACACCGAATTCTATGATGGGTGGATCAGATCCCATCTAGTTTATGATGGGAAACTGATCAATTCTCACTTTGTGTCCTGCTGTTGGGTGATCTCTTGCTACCAGGGCACAGGAGCTGCTCTTCACGTGACTGGTTCTCATCCCTAGAAGGCACCGATTTACTCTAGAATCCTACCCTTCTGTTCTGTCCCTGGTGTTGGAGCTTTCCAGATTCCAGACAACATCCTAACCAATCACAGATCTTGCTAGCACCTTCTGACCTGCTGAGTTCTAGGATCAAGAAGGAGGGTGGGGCACCTGGGTGGCTCAAGTCGTTCAGCATCTGCCTTTGGCTTAGGTCATGATCCCAGGGTCCTGGGATCGAGCCCCACATCGGGCTCCCTGCTCGGCGGGCTCCCTGCTTCTCCCTCTCCCACTCCCCCTGCTTGTGTTCCCTCTCTCGCTGTCTCTCTGTCAAATAAATAAAATCTTAAAAACAAACAAAAAAACATCTTGTGCCACAGCTAGGATCTGCTGGAGAGCCTACTCTGGCTCTGGGCCCCTGAGAATTTGGCAGCCTCTGGGGTCGCCCAATAAATGAGTCAGAGGAGTATTCCCAACTTTGGTACTTGTTGCGTCCAAATTCAAATTCCAAAGAGACCCACAAAATGTTATTTTCATTGTTTTTGTTTAAGTGGGGGGAGACTTGAAGTGCCGCAGCTTGTCCTTCACCTGAGAAGAAACATCTTGACATGCCCTTGACCTTCCCAGTGCACATTTACCCTGACAAATGGCCACAGGGTTTGTCTACATACCTTCCCAGTATGTAGACATCACGTCTACAACTCCTTTGAGAAATGACTGAAGGAATATTTACTGTGTACATTTGCGATGGGAGTTACAGGAATGTTACTGAAGGGGAACTGACCTTCCTTTCATTGAGTGTGCTCTGGGTCTACATTTAGAGCTGGGAACTGGGTGTGGGGTCCCAATGTTCCATCCAGGTGGAAGGCAACTAGTTCATTATTCTTTTTTTTCCCCCTCTTTATATAAATAAACTAGCATCCTAGGGAATTGTGGTGTAACAGCCACTGCCTCAGATCCCTGCAGGTCAAACCATCTTGATTGCCATTCTGACTCTGCCCGTCCTTAGTCTGCTGGGGTGGCCTTGGATATTTTTACTCAAGTAAAAATCGTGAATCAAAGGTGAGTGCCCCATGTAAATAAAGATCTCTCTGGTCTTATATTCTCCCTTCCCTCATCGAACACCAAGATCCACTTTTACGCACACTCCCCAGGCTCTATTATTAGGTCCTGTAATTCCTTTGTTATGTAGGCACTTTTTCCTCAAAGCAGGGTTTGTATTTCTCTCTCCAGGCTCTGCTGGTACCTGACTCTTGATATCAACCTAGAGGCAATGAGGAGTAGGGGGTAGGTCCTGAGGAGGCCAAACATCATCATTCAAGGCATCCACCTCAGGTGAGGCTAACATGGAAGGGGCTGTTTCTGCCACCAGGAAGGATTCAGAGAAATGGGTGTGTATGTCACGATTCTCAGATTGTCCACCAAAATATCCCAACCCATATATTAGAGTATTACTCATCCTGCATTTGGGCCTGATTTTCACATAAGACATGCTGAGGCTGTACATGCAGACTCCTTTGCATTCTGCCCTGTGCTGACAGAAAAGATTCTCTGGTCTTCAGATTTTTTCTGAAGTTGGAGGATGACTATCATTTACTTATTGTAAACTGACATGCTGTTGAATTTCATCCAAGTGCTAGAGGGGAAACTAATTTGGGTAGGTCACTGAAAGAGAAACAAGAGTACTGGAGAATCTAAGAAAGTACACAGTTTCCTTCCCAGTATGGACATCACGTCTACAACTACAGAAGATATTTTCTTTGCAAGTACACAGAGAACATTTTAAAAGAAAACATATATACTGGGAAGTAAATCAAGTCTCAATAAATGTTAATATTATTAAAAGTATGTTATCTGGCCACGTAAAATTATTTTAGAAATAAATGACAAAAATATCAGAAATTTTCGTGTATTGAAGTTTTAAAAATCTATTTTCTATTTTTTTCCTTTTATTTAAATTCAATTAGCCAACATAAGGTACATAATTAGTTTTTGGTGTAGTGTTCAATGATTCACCTAGTGCTCATGACATCACACGCCCTCCTTAATGCCCATCATCCCCCAACCCAGCTCCTTTTCCACAACCATCAGTTTGTTTCCCAGAGTCAAGAGTGTCATGGTTTTTCTCCCTCTCTGATTTCTTCCCATTCAGTTTTCCCTCCCTTCCCCTATGATCCTCTGCACTATTTCTTATATTCCACATAGGAGTGAAACCATATGATAATTGTGTTTCTATGATTGACTTATTTCACTTAGCATAATACCCTCCAGTTCCATCCATGTCAATGTAATGGTAGGTATTCGTTTTCTGATGGCTGAGCAATATTCCATTGTATATATGAACCATGTCTTCTTTCTTCATCTGTCGAAGGGCATCTCGGCTCCTTCCACTGTGGACATTGCTGCTATGAACATTGGAGTGCAGGTGCCCCTTCATTTCACTACATCTGTATCTTTGGGGTAAATACCCAGTAGTGCAATTGCTGTGTCATAGGGTAGCTCCATTTTTAATGTCTTGAGGAACCTCCATACTGTTTTCCAGAGTGGCTGTACCAGCTTGCATTCCCACCAACAGTGTAAGAGGGTTCCCCTTTCTCTGAATCCTCACTAACATTTGCTGTTCCCTGTCTTGTTAAATTTAGTCATTCTGACTGGTGTGAGGTAGTATCTCATTGTGGTTTTGATTTGTATTTCCCTGATGACAAGTGATGTGGGGCTTTTTTTCATGTGTCTGTTGGCAATTTGTATGTCTTCTTTGGAGAAGTGTCTGTTTATGACTTCTGCCCATTTCTTGACTGGGTTATTTGTTTTATGGGTGTTGAGTTTGATAAATTATTTATAGATCTTGGATACCAGCCCTTTATCTGATAGATACTGTGTCTTGCAGGAAGTTGCTGCGACTGAGGTTGAAGACCTTACTGCCTGTGTTCTCCTCTAGGATTTTGATGGATTCCTGTCTCAGACTTAGGTCTTTCATCCATTTTGAGTTCATCTTTGTGTGTGGTATAAGGAAAACGTCCAGTTTCATTCTTCTACATGTGGCTGTCCAATTTTCCCAGCACCATTTATTGAAGAGACTGTCTTTTTTCCGTTAGATATTCTTTCCTGCTTTGTCAAAGATTAGTTTACCATAGAGTTGAGGGTCCATTTCTGGGCTCTCTATTCTGTTCCATTGATCTCTGTGTGTCTGTTTTTGTGCCAGTAACATACTATCTTGATGATTACAGCTTTGCAAAATAGCTTGAAGTCTGGCATTGTGTTGCCACCAGCTTTGGTTTTCTTTTTCAACATTCCTCTGGCTATTTGGGGTCTTTTCTGGTTCCATACAAATTTCAGTATTATTTGTTCCAGGTCTGTGAAAACTGTCGATGGTATTTTGATAGGGATTGCACTGAATGTGTAGACTGTTCTGGGTAGCATAGAAATTTTAACAACGTTTATTCTTCCAATCCATGAACATGGAATGTTTTTCCATCTCTTAATGTCTTCCTCAATTTCTTTCATAAGTGTTCTGTGGTTTTTAGAGTACGGATCCTTCACCTCTTTGGTTAGGTTTATTCCTAGGTATCTTACGGTTTTTGGTGCAATTGTAAATGGAATCGATTCCTTAATTTCTCTTCTTTTGTCTCATTGTTAGTATATAGAAATGCAACTGATTTCTCTGCATTGATGTTGTATCCTACCACATCGCTGAACTGCTGTAAGAGTTCTAGCAATTTTGGGGTAGAGTCTTCCGGGTTTTACACATAGAGTATCACATCATCTGCAAAGAGTGAGAGTTTGACTTCTTTGCCAATTTGAATGCCTTTTCTTTCTTTTTGTTGTCTGATTGCTGAGGCTAGGACTTCCAGTACTATGTTGAACAACGGTGGTGAGAATGGGCATCCTTGTCGTGTTCCTTACCTTAGGGAAAAAGCTCTCAGTTTTTCCCCATTGAGAATGATATTCATTGTGGGCTTTTCATATACGGCTTTTATGATATTTAGGAATGTTGCCTCTATCCATACACTGTGGAGAGTTAATCAAAAAAATATGCTGTATTTTGTCAAATGCTTTTTCTGCATCCATTGAGAGGATCATATGGTTCTTGTCCTTTCTTTTACTAATGTGATGGATCACATTGATTTGCAAATGTTGAACCACCCTTGCATCCCAGGAATAAATCCCACTTGGTCATGGTGAATAATCCTTTTAATGTATTGTCGATGGTATTTTGATAGGGATTGCATTGAATGTGTAGATTGCTGTGGGTACCATAGACATTTTAACAAAATTTATTCTTTCCTTTGAGACATTCCTGCCTCAGAGGTGCTCACTTGGTGAAGCAGGGTAGAATTCTAGGTGGGGCAGTGTGGTCCCAGGATCCCTGGAATCACAGAAGGAATGGGGGGCCTGAGTTGGTAGAGTTCCCAAGCATTGGAGTGGAGAAACTGGTTAAAGTCAGAGAGCTCAGGAGGGGACTCTCAGCTCAATTTGCCAAAAACAGCAAGCCCGTGCTGCTGCCCAATTGGATGACCGCTCTCCAAGTGGGGACCCTCGGCCTTCCTCTGGGAGGGGTGGAGCAGATGTGCGCACCACTGGGGACAGCTCTCAGTGTGGGAGCCCTGCAGAAGACAGGACAGTAGCGACCTCCTGCGTCCCCCCAGGGGGGGGCGAAGCAGGTGTACACAGGACCAGGCAACAGTTCTCAGTGTGGGGCCCTGCAAAGTATAGAAATGTGTGACCCTCTGTCTTCCCCCAGGATGATCTGTGTGGGAGCCTACCACAGGAGTCTGCAGAGTTTGGCACACACGAAAGTGAAGACCGTTTATCCCTGAGGGTTTATAGAAGAGAGAGGACCTAGATCTTTTGGCTCTGGGACTGGAGATCCAGGCACGGCCGTTTTTATTTTGATCCTCTAAAGAGGCCCAGGGAACAAAAGCCACACAGAGCAACCAAAAACAGCTTACATTGAGCCCAGCCTCTAGCAAGGGGCAGTGCAACTCCACCCAGGCAAGACACCTTAGAAGCAGAGCAGCAGGCCCCTCCCCCAGAAGACTAACTGGAAGAACAGGTGCATAGCGAGTTTATGGACCACAAAGGACTGTAAAACTCTAGCGCTAGGGGAAAACAGTATATAGAATTCAAGGTTTTTTTCTCATGATTTGTTTATTTTTCAGTTTAAAATTTTCCATTTCTCTTTTTTCTTTTTTCCCTTTTCAACTAGTTTCTTATTTTATCAACTCTTTGTTTTTAAGTCCTTTTTTTTTAACCTTCAATTTTTACATTTACATTTTATAGTCTTCATTTTTGGCTTCCTTTCACTTGAATTAATTTTATTTTTGTATATATGTAAGTTTAGCATTCTTTACAATTTGGGGATTTAGTGTCTTCTAATACACGGACCAAAATACACTCAGGACCAAGTGGATCACCCTGTTTTGTCCACCCCCCTCACCTTTTTTTTGTTTTCTTTTCCATATTTTTTCTTTTCTTTCCTGGTTTCTGACCTCTTCAGATTTGCCTAGTATGTTATTTCGTTGGGTTGTGGTTGATATACTTGTTTTTGTTCACTCATTCATCCATTCTTTTCTGGGTAAAATGACTAGGAGGAGGAATTCACGACAAAAGAAAGAACCAGAGGTAATACTCTGCCACAGATCTAATCAATATGGATATAAGTAAAATGTTAGAGCTGGAATTCAGGTTAACAATTATAAAGTTACTAGCTGGGCTTGAAAAAAGCTAAAAGACAGTAGAGAATCTCTTAGGGCAGAAACAAGATCTAATTAGGCCAAAATTAAAAATGCTGAGATGCAGTCTAAATTGGATACTCTAACAGCTAGGGTAAGAGAGGCAGAAGAGAGGATAAATGACATAGAAGATAAGTTGATGGAAAGGAAGGAAGCGGAGGAAAAGAGAGAAAAACAACTAATCGACCATGAGGGGAGGCTTCAAGAAATCAGCGATGCCACAAAAGGAAACAATTAGAATTACTGGGGTCCTTAATGGAGAAGAGAGAGGGCCAGAAGGTAAATTTGAGCAAATCATAGCTGAGAACTTCCCTAATCTGGGGAAGGAAATAGGCATTCACATCAAGCAGCAGAGAGGACCCCTCCCAAAATGAATAAAAATAGATCAACACCCCGACATATAATAATGAAGCTTGCAAATTTCAGAGATAAAGAGAGAATCCTGAAAACAGCTCGGGACAATCTACAGGGGTAGGATTGTTAGACTGGCAGCAGACCTATCCACAGAGACCTGGCAGGCCAGAAAGGCTGGCAAGATATATTCAGGGTACTAAATGAGAAGAACATGCAGCCAAGAATAGTTTATCCAGCAAGGCTGTCATTCAGAACGGAAGGAGAGATAAAGAGCTTCTAGGACAGGCAGAAACTGAAAGAATATATAACCACTAAACCAGCGCTGCAAGAAATAATAAGGGGGATACTGTAAGCAAAGAGAGAGCCCAAGAGTAACACAGACCAGAAATAAACAGAGACAGTCTACAGAAACAGGGACTTTACAGGTAATAACAATGGCACTAAATTCATATCCTTCAATAGTTACTCTGAATGTAAACGGGCTAAATGCTCCAATAAAAAGACACGGGGGGGGGGACGGAGCAAGATGGCGGAGGAGTAGGAGACCTGGATTTCGTCTCCTCTCAGGAATTCAGCTGGATAGGGATCAAACCATTCTGAACACCTACAAACTCAACAGGAGATTGAAGAAAAGAAGAGCAACAACTCTCATCAGAAAAGCGACCACTTTCTGGAAGGAAGGACGTGCGGAGAAGTGAATCCGCGGCGATATTCGGGAGGATAGACGGCGGGGGAGGGGCCTCCGTCGGCCGCTTCTGGCAAGTGATAGAGCCCCGGGGCACAAAACCGGAACTTTTAAAAGTCTGCTCCGCCGAGGGACGTCACTCTGGTGGCTACGCGGGGGGTGGGACCCTCCGGGACAGTGTGGTCTCAGGACCCTCGGGGTCACAGAAAGACCGGGGGTGCCTGAGTGCGGCAGAGCTCCCAGGGATCGGAGCTGGGAAGCCGGCTGCAGAGGCGGAGCCCAGGCGCGGGCCCTCAGCTCCGGGTTGCCATAAACCGGGATCCGCGGCACAGTCGGGCCCCTGCGCCTCCAGCAGGGACCCCACAAGCGGCAGATCCAGGGAGACTCACCTTCCTCCCCCGGAGGAGCCGCGTGGGAGTGCACCGCAGGGATCTGCTGGGTTTGGAGACTCCACCGGGGGTCGGGTGCCAGGGATAGAGGCGCGCGGTCACAGGCCGGGCGAGCACGGAGTGCGGCCGGAGACCGGGGAGACGGGAGTGACTGACGGCTTTTCTCTGGGGGCTCACTGAGGAGCGGGGCCCCGAGTTCTCGGCTCCTCCGGGGCGGAGATTGGGAGGCCGCCATTTTCACTCTCCGCCTCCAACGCTGTACGGAAAGCTCGCAGGGAACAAAAGCCCCGGAGAGCAAACCCGAGCAGATGACTTAGCCAGGAGGGGGCAAGGGCGGGGCAATTCTGCCTCCGGCAGAGACATTTGGGAACCACGGCAAAAGGCCCCTCCCCAGAAGATCAGCGAGAACAGCCAGCCAAGACCAAGTTTACCGATCAATGAGAACGGCAGAACTCCAGCGCTAGGGGACTACTGCACATAGAATTCACGGCTTTTTTACCATGATTCTTTAGTCTTTTAAAGTTAATTTTTTTTTAGCTGTCTTTTTTGTCTTTTTATTTCTTTTTGAATTTTTCTTTTTCCCTTTTTCAACCAACATCTTATCAATCCCTTTTTTTAAAAAAAAAAAAACATTTTTATTTTTCATTTTTAGAGTCATATTCTATCTCTTCATAGTAGTTACCCATATTTTTGGCTTATATATATAAGTTGTTCTCTCTTTAAAATTTTGAGATAGTTTCTTCTAACAGATTAAAATATATCCTAAATCTCTAGTATATGGTGTTTTCTATTCCCCTGCCTGATCACATCCTCTCCCTTTTTTTTTCTTTTTCTTTTTTCTTTTTTTAAATCCTCTTCTTTCTTTTTTCAAACAACTTCTTATCAATTCCTTTTATAAAATTTTTTATAATTTCCATTTTTACAGTCATATTCCATCCCTTCATCATATCAACCCTTATTTTTGTACATATATAAGTTTTTCTTTCTTTAAAATTTTGGGAGGCACTTTCTTCTAAAAGACCAAAATACACCCCAAATCTAGTGTGTGGCACTGATCTATATACCATATAGATCATATTTGATCACATTCTGGTTTTTCTTTTGTTGTTGTTGTTTTGTTTTGTTTGTTTTTGTTTTTATTTTTTCTTTTTTCTCTCTTTCCCTTTCTTATCCCACTGCTTCAGGTCTTTTCTGATTTGTTTAGAGTATATTTTCTGGGGACGTGGTTACTCTGCTAGCATTTTGTTCTCTCATTAATCTATTCTCCTCTGCACAAAATGATGAGATGGAAAAAATCACCTCAACAAAAAGAACAAGAGGTAGTACCGACTGCCAGGGACCTACTCAGTACGGACATTAGTACGATGTCAGATCTAGAGTTCAGAATCATCACTTTAAAGATACTAGCTGGGCTTGAAAAAAATATGGAAGTTATTAGAGAAACCCTTTCTGGAGAAGTAAAAGAGCTAAAATCCAACCAAGTAGAAATCAAAAAGGCTATTAATGAGGTGCAATCAAAAATGGGGGCACTAACTGCTAGGATAAACGAGGCAGAAGAGAGAATCAGTAATATAGAAGATGAAATGATGGAAAATAAAGA